AATGCAGGTAATGAGGACAGTTCAGGGTCCACAGACTTCCTGTGGGGCCAGGATGGATGACAAAATCTCTGTCTTCCCAGGCTCTACCTACGCAAGGCATTCAGAGCTGCTTTAGAGAGGTCTCATTCCCACAGTCTCCCTACTTCTAAAGGAGAGGAAACTCTTATGGCCAGAAATTATCTCAGAAATATGTCCAACACTGCTTCCTCCTGCTATTTGGATGATCCTCTTGCTCATCAGTACCCTGCTGAAGGCTAGTATCTCTGGTAGTTGGAAAAGAACAGAGACTCAAGTTGTTGAACCAAGTAACTGAATTTGTGATGCAGCTGCTTGGTGAATTGATCACTAAGGGCAGAGGTGCTGATGGCCGGAGTCCCAGACACCAACCTGGGTGAACCAGAAGTCCTGGCTCATGGATGCAAATAACATAGGACATGGTAAAAATCTGGCAGGGCAAAACCTGGGCATTACGGTTGCCATAGAAACCATTTCTAAATGTTCTGAACACCATGTGCAGAACTAGACAGGCAAAACTGCAATGTATGCTTGAAAAAAATGTATGGAAGAAGGTCTAGATTTATTAGGAAGTAGGAAAGCCTTTGAAACAGGGGGATCCTGTACAAGAAGGATGAGTGAAGCTGCTGGCACACTAAAACATTTTAGAAAGTCTATAGGGTTTGTCAGACTTTTCCCTCCACCATCTAAAAATGACATAGTAGATCCAGGAAGAGTTCGGAAATAGGAATAAAGAAGGAAGACATGGGACAGCTTGTTTAGAAGAAGCAGCTTCTAGTGCTAGGACTAAACTAAATAGACCAAAAGGCAAATAGAAATCAGTGAATAGGGATTTCTTTTCTTAAAAAAAAATAAAAATCTACAGGGCATAAACTAAAAACTAAACACCTTGTTATAAAAGCTGTAAGTGTACAGAATTCAAGGAGACAGGTTCAGGGAAGAGCAAAGCACTGAAGGTTTCTCAATGCATAGAAACCACCTCTGGCTATGGAAGTCCTTGAGCCCTAAGAGACTGGAGACTTAGAGAGCAGTAGGATGAGGAGAGGAGAAAGAGCAGGGAAGTGTGGAGCTGTATTAGCTTTGCTCTTATATGCTGCCCTATGCTTACCTGCTCGTGATCACTGCTGGAGACAGGATGGTGGGCTAGATGGACCTTCTGACCTGGGGTGCCTGTTCTGCAGTTCTAAACTGAGCACTGAAAGGGACACTGAACCTCTTAACTCTGAAGGATTGCATCTAACCGCTTCCTTTACTTTGGTGTTCATGTGTGCCAGCTCGCTCTGGGGGTGGTGGAAGCCTTGTGCCGTTTTTATTTAACTAACATGTATTTATGCTGAGACCGTATTATAAGGTGTTACCCAGCCTTTGCACATTGGTGTTTACTGCAGAAGAGTTCAGGCAGCCGCACCCGTGCCATAGGGCAGAATAAAATACTGCAAGTTGACGTGTCAGTAAAGGCTTTAGAACACATCAGTAAATCGGACAGTAAATTAGACTGCCACCAACTGGTAGTAGTCATCCAGAAGCTTTACAGCAACTCTCCAATATAAACACTGAATTAGTTTGTCTAGTTTATAATTTAAATGAGCGTTGGTGCAACAAGAATGGCAAGTGATAAGAGCAACACTTATTTTTTTAATTTATTTTTTAAGTTCATGGCGTAATTCTGCAGGGTAGCAGGTTTATATTGGGAAGAACAGAACTGGTAGGCTGATGGATAAGTATACCTTAGGGAAAAGCCAGCATGATTTATGCGATACATAATTTCCCTTTCAGGTTTTTTGAGGGAGTCAGCAAGCATACACACAATCATAATTGTCCACTTAGCTTTTAAAAAGTTCTTAAGTCGGAGGGAAGTGCCTCTTAGGGGTGAATAATTGATTAAAAGACAGAAAACAACAGGTAGAAATGAATAGGAAGCTTTCATAGTGAAAGGAAACTCCTATTTGGGATCTCCAGGTATTACTCAACACAGGCATTAAAGATCTAATACTAATGTGACAGAATTTGATGCTGATTCCTTAGGAAGATCAAATCTGAATCTTCTAAAAAAGTTTAAAAAGGGTCTCATGCTGTTGAACAAATGGAGATCAAATTTTGTCCAGCGTTTATGAACCTAAGGATGTCTGTAGTAGGGAAATAACCTTAACCACATGTTGCAGAGATTGGCTTTGTTAGATATGACTGCTCGGGAATGAATTTGTGCAGTCTTTGTGTTCCTTGAAAACATCAACTGAAAGTTCATCAGTGATCAGAAGGGCAAACAGTGTGCTGGTAACTTCTGGGGAAGTTATTGAGAACAAAGTGGAAAGCATCATCTTGCTTTGTGTGCGCTTGTGTTTGGATACTTCATAAATGGCAGGTTATGGCATTTGTAAAGGTGTGCAGTAGAATCAGATGAAGACAAAGAAACATGAAGAAGAAATATGGACATTGTCAAACGGTTCCCATGCAGAGGATGGAGAATTCATCTCTTGAACTTGGGGCATGATACTTTGGAGAGAGGTGAAAAGGAGGGAATACTTTAGTCTGTAGAATTATGAATGGCTTTGAGATGGTAAATAGTGAATGCACCAGCCCTCACAGTACAAGAATTCAGGCATCTTTTAGCTTCTCTATCTGTTACTAGCCGAGTCAAAGAACCCGTGTTGGGTGAGGCAGATGTTTTGGTCCAATCTATATAACATAGAATCATAGAGTCATAGAATAGTTAGGGTTGGAAGGGACCTCAAAGACCATCTAGTTCCAACCCCCCTGCCATGGGCAGGTTGTTTTCAACTGAAACTGAATTAGATGCCTAGGATTAATGGCAGGCCTTAAAGTGCTAATTCTCAAATGTCAAATCAACTTGAGTCAGCCCCCAATTTCTTGCATGTATGTTGACTTTTAATTGAGAACACCGTAAAGGTGATCATAAGTTATATTCTGTTCATTTAATGTGTTGCTGGGGATGTCTTACTATATAAACATCATGAATAATGTACTGGAATGAGACGTGAAGCATTTGGGATTTTCCAGTGTTATAAAAATCTATTTGGCAAGTTTGGTACTCTTCTCCTGTTGAAGAAGCCTTAGCAGTGCTTTCATGAGGATTTGTCAGGTCTATCAGTCATGTCTCCTCAGCTCCCTGCTGACTGCAGCAGAATATAGCGCCAGTCAGGTAAACATTTCTTTGTTTCATTGAAGAGTCATACTGCAGTTAATATAAAGAGGTGACCAGTCACTATGGCAGAAACCAGTAAGACAGTATGACTTAAAGCTTCCAGATGCTTAAGCAAGCGCTTTCACAAAATAAAACCTAGCAATTTGTGTTCAGCGCTGCACCTGCCGCCAGCCACAGCCAGAGTTCTAGCTCTTTAATACATCTTTCATATGTTCATTACTACATATATTTTACAGAGGTGAGTATGATACATTCTGTGGTTCCGCTGTCCAGACACTTACTCATTTATGCAGCTTCAGTATTAGCCACTTTGCTGTGTTTACAGTATTGCAAGTTAGTTTTGTGAATGTCTTGCATTTAAAGTAAGTGGGTATCTGGATATCAAAACCCCCGGGTATTGAAACAGCTTGGGCAACTCGTCTTACATGTGCTTCAGACTTTGTCTGCTGTATCTTCATATTCCATTGCCATCTAGCACAAAATATATACCCTTTTGGGAGTCAAAAAGTCACGCTCTCGTGAATTTTCTTCATGCTAAGTAGAAGAGTACTTCATGGGTGATTACCCCGCTCCTAAAAAAAAAAAAAAAATCAAACAAAACATCACATGGATTTCTGCCTCTTTAGGATATCACTGTCTTCATCTGCATTAACTGGCCATAGTTGGAACTTGTGTTTTCCAGTCAGTGTTACAATAAATTATCACCAGTCTCTTTAAAGAGAAGAGATGAGATTGTCCCTGGTACATTAGTACAGTTAGAAAATGCATAAACTGTTACTCAGAGAAAGAATAGTTCCCTTCTCTTTGGTAACTGTGCTTCTTTGGGATGTGTTGTCCCAATACACTCCAATGGTTTTACCTGCCTTTCTCATTATCAAGAAAACCTCTATAGGAGCTGGAGTTTTTACTTCTTCTTCAGTGACTGATAGGTAATTGCAAATTCCTTCCCTTTGGCATACTGTAACCCATGACTTAGCGCGCAGGGCAGAAGCAAAGCTCCAAAGTATACCGAGTGTTTTTAACAGCATCCTTTGGTTGGACAAAATCACAACTCAACATTATCTGTGTTTACTGAAGGTGAAGCACCCCAAAAGTGGGAAACGTCATACATGCCTGTTAGTCAAAATGGTTTAAAGGTTTTTTTAGTGATCATAGAACAGCTAGAAGTTTAAAAAAAGGAAAAGGTCACTCTGGGTGAAAGTTAAGGTATTTTAGAAATAATAATAATGTTAATCTTTTACTCAGCCACACTGCACTAGATTGCAAAACCTTTCAATTTTTAGACTAAAACTCTGTTCAGGAGATGGACACATTTGGTGATAACTTTATATTGTGAATAAAAGTTCCTAGAGACTGCAGAGGCTGTTTTAATGCAAAATCTTGATAAAAAACTTTGCAACATAATTATTAGAATGTTTTAGACTTCATTTACTCATCCAAATGCTTTTAGCTTTCAATCTTAGTAGATAAAATTTTCCTCACCCACTTGTTTCTACTACTTTCCTGTTGTGGGGGAAGTTTGTGACTATAATAGCTGTCAGCTCTGCCTTCTCACAAAATATCTTCCTATCAATTTAGACTTCTCTTGTGTTTTTTTTTTTCTTACATATTTTCTGGTGTATGTTAAAAATAGTGATGAAATCATAAAATGGGTGGCTTGGGTTTCTTGTCATCAACTGATGGGTTTTTTTTTTCCTTCTAAAGTCCTGTTACTACCAAACAAAACTAAAGCAATAAAACCAGGCTCATGTTAATGTGAAATCTTTTCTGAAACTGCTTTCCAATAGAAAGCTCTCTGAGATGAGCCTAAGTCTGTCTTCCTGACATGTACCATTCTGTGCACGCTCCCAGCACTGACCTGTGAAAGACGTGAGACCAAACTCGAAGGCTGTAGTTGTTACCTAATAGGCACTTAGCTGGAAGAAGGTATTAACATAAACCCAGTAACTTTTCAATTGTGTTTCTCGATTAACGATATTAATGATTAATTTCATTTCAGTTAATGAAACTCTTCATGTTCATGTTTTGTTCTGCTTTCTCCCATACTTTGAACTTCTTCACAGAGGACAGTGAATTAAGAAGAACCTTGCAGTCTTTAGCTTGTGGAAAGGCACGAGTATTGATTAAAAATCCAAAGGGCAAGGATGTAGAAGATGGAGATAAATTCGTCTTTAATGGTGATTTCAAGCATAAATTGTTTAGAATAAAGATCAACCAAATCCAAATGAAAGAAACAGTATGTATTTATTTTTTGCATTCATTCTGTTTATGTTAACTGTTTATCCACACTTCTCATGTGGAGAGACAGAATCTCTGCATTTCCTCTCATAGTTTTTTGAAAGGAAACAGTTATTTAACATTTTTTTGGTAGTCGGGATGACTCGCAGAGGTAACAAAGATTTTAAAGCCCACTGAAAACGAAACAACTCGGGTTCCTTCCTGTGCTTGCAAATTTAAATGCCTGTATACTAAACTGATAGGATCTTGTAGATGTTTCAGTCCCTCTTAGAAGTTTTTGTGGTATGACCGAAGTGTTGGTACTGTATAGAATTCATGAATCAAATGTCACCATGTCACTTCTTTTCTGTATTTAGCAAGAGAGTTATTAAAGTCAGGGTTGTCTCTGTTTTTGCAATGGATGTCTCTGCTGTACTTGAATTGCAATTCTTGACACAAGGTGATGCGTTCTACTTAACATTGAGTTGTTTCCCTTTTGCCTTTGCATATTAAAATCCCGAAAAGTCCAATTGGAGTTGATCAGTTCGATACAAAAGACTACTGTATTTGGGCTGCCAAACTGTTAATGTGCTCTCTCAAAAATCTGAAGTGAGTTTTTAAGATTTAGTTTAATTATCAAATAGTTTGAAAATAAGATGTATGTTATTTTTTTCTTTACATTATTCTTATTTTTATCTTCGCTTGCTTTAGCAGTACATTTCAGAATCTCTTAGTTCTTAGCATGCAGTGACACATGCATCTGTCTCACAAGATGAATAATACATGAGTTTCATTTCATTGTAAAGGTTAACTACAGAAACATAATTGATACAAAAATAGCAATAGAAGGTGATATGATTTGTGGCGTATTGTTCTTTAGGTCGAGGAACAGGTCAGCACAACTGAAAGAGTATTTCAAGACAGGCAATATCAGATTGATGCTGCTATTGTGCGAATAATGAAGATGAGAAAGACTCTTGGTCATAATCTCCTTGTTTCTGAATTGTACAATCAACTGAAATTTCCCGTAAAGGTAACTGGTTTTGTTTTTCAAACCATCCTAGGATTATCTAAAAATATGTAATATATTTTTCCATTCAGCTTGTCCATAAGAGTAAGAAGTGTGAAATATGTCTGAATCAAATCCAAATATTAAGATATTAAAATGAATGCATGAACAGAAATAAGCCAGAGTATCGGTAGGAAATTATATTTAGATATTTACTATGGTGTTTTTTCTTACGTAGCTGTTAGCAGTCTTATTTTTTAAAATAAAAGCTATTTGCATTTATATTACTAACTGTTACACTAATCTCATCTTTTCTTGTAGCCTGGAGACTTGAAAAAGAGGATTGAATCTCTCATTGACAGAGACTATATGGAGAGAGACAAAGACAACCCCAATCAGTACCACTATGTTGCATAACAGAGAAGAAATACTTTTATTTAAAAAAAAAAATAAAAAACCAACCCAAAAAATAAAAACCAAAATCATCCACATATATCTTCAGGACACCAAGTACCTATGCTGTTCCAGACTTTCCTTTTAGCAGATTTCAGGTTGATGTGTATTATTCAACCAGCTGCATGCACTGCTGTGGAAGGGAAGCAAAATGACAGGTTAATCGATCATCCTTGTCAAGACTCCTTACTAATTTTAAACGTCATGTTTTTAATTCTTTTAGTTACTCTTCTTTTGTGCTCCTCAAAATTTAGTTTTACAGTTTTGTTTAACAATGTCATTGAAGTTGGATGGAAAGGTAAAATTATCTGTGTGAGAAATACTTCTGTGACGGATGCAAGTCTGGTTTCTTCATTTATGTGTTCCTAACTGCATCCATAAAGACCCTATATGCTGCATTCTTTAGCTACAGCGACAATTTGGGTAACTTTTTAAAAACCCTTTAATTGCTGAGCACTTGTGTACAAGCAGTGTTGTTGAAATACACTGAATTTTTGAAGTTACGCACCGTGAAAACCCTTAAACTTGTGTTCAATTAATTTTCTTTCAAATGATTATAAACTTCAGTCTGGTTTGGATAAATCAGGTTTTGAAGTGAGATCCTTGAAGTGCCAAGAGGACAACTGCGTTCATGTGTGTAGTGAGTTGTTGGATTATTTAGTGGAGATATGGATTATTATTTTATTACTACTTCTGCTGGCTTGGGTGGCAAAGGTTAGATCTGAGTCCAAGAGGCCCGACCTCATTTTAGGGCAACTGGTGTTTATCACTGTCGATGTAATTGCCGTAACATTTAGTTTTGCCTTGAAAATAACATACAGGGAAACTACTGTACAGCGTGCTCCACTTTAAAAATCAAACACTTTTTAAAAAAAAATACTTTTATGGTCTCGATATTGTGAAAGCATAGCTTTTGTCTTGAAAGACTAAGGGTTTCGTGAGTACTTTGTTCCATATTGTATATATGTAAGTTGATTTGAATTAAAGAATGAAAGACATTGTAGATCTGCTAGGTAATTGTAACTATAAGGAAGACACCTTTTGTGGTAATACTTACAAGACTCTGTTTATTTTTGGGATTTGCATACTGATCTGCTTCATTCTGAAAGAGAGCTACCAAAGGAGTTTTGATCATGACATGAATGAGAATTTAACTGAGCAATATCTTCCTGAGAGATACCTTACTAAGTTTATGTAACATGAGGTTTGTCCATCAATGAAAAGGCCACCACCTCTTCTTAAAGTAAACATTGCTAGGAGTTGACATCTTGTGGATTTAGATATTAAAGTCCTTGTTCTGTCATCTGGTGTCACTAATTGTATTGCATTCTTCTGAATTATTTTTGTTCCCTTTGTGTTTAGAAACTAAACACGTTTAGTTTATTGTATTTAAAACATATTTAATATTGTAATTTAATGTAGACTTATTTTAATATTTGAATCTTCAGTTAATGCAAATAAAATCTTTGATGCATATTAAATAATAATTTCTTAGCCTTTGTGAGAATGTGGCATTTCAGTTTATTTGGGCAGTTTGTTCTTCAGTGTTAATTATACCATTCACCTTGTAATTCGCTTTCTATGCATATGGAAGCTGATCAGATCCATTTTGCTAGAGTTTTAAACAAAAAGGATTATGTGCCTCACAGAAATGGAATGGCCAGAGGTTTTATCCACACCGAGAGTTGGCAGTAGCACGCAGTAACTGATACCAAGCAGTGGATGTGTACAGCCTTCCCCTTCTGAACCCCAACTTCCTGGTTCAATGGTTCTCAACAATGGATTAAAAGCAGTGGTGTTATCCTGAAGGTGACTGAAATGGCTCTGCCTTACGAAGCAATGTTAATTGATTAAAAGTGCTGAGATGGGCAGTTTTTCTTAATTGCCGTAGACTGGAACTCTTTGGCCAAATTACTCTGGTATAGCAATTAAAAATGAAGTGTTCCATGAGCAGTGGAAATAATTAAGCCTGTCTTTCTGTGATGTATGTCT